ACTAATATTCTCATCAAGCAACTTAAACTTACTGCGAAAGAAATTGATATGTAAATGAAGAAATGTAAATTGTCAAGTAAAATGTAAAGAAATGTAAATGAAGAAGTGAAATGTAATACCAGGTGGTTTATATCCCGTTTTCTTATTTGGTGTCTTGTTGTTACAACCAAAAGCTACGCAATTGACCATTCCGTGTTAATAAGCATCATTCTATAGGCACAACTAGGCAACAGCCGAATTAAGTCAGACGTAAACAACAGAGTGGGAGAGATTGTAAAGCGCACTGACACAGTGTGCTGACTAGCGCGCTGCACACGTCGGGACTAGGGTAGCGCCGCCATCTTTGTCCGTTTCGCCGTCTAGTCAGACTGCCACGCTCCTGCGCTCCGAGTAGCGCTTCTATTTTGTTATGTGTTCGCTGGTTGAACTAATGTACTGATAAAAATTGTCTGGTTAAAAAAGATGTATCTTCTGCTAAGAGTAGTACGTTTAAACCGATATCCAGTTAAAAGGTACGGAAAATAAATAGTCTACTTTATAAACAATCTTAATAGTTTTACATCTGGTGATTCATATTACAAAGGCGTTTTAAACAGATAACTGATTGATTTAATATTAAAGTAATGAACAATAGTTTACGGAGGTGTCTGTTTTGTAAACATAACTATTTGGCTAACAACTAAATAACAATATGCAGGTAAAAAACCTGCAGACTTTGGTAAAAAAAAATTGTTGCATAAAGCCGAAGTTGAATATTTATTGACTGAAGCCTCCCCAAGACTTGTCTGAATAAGGACTATTGTGCCAAAAGCTGGATTTGTAGTGATCCTATTGTGGTCTAAGATTGGGTTTCTGGGTCGGGATTGGTAAAGATTTGTGATTGGACATCAAGTGTTCAAGTGTTGTGTATAAAGTAATACAGGAAATGGAGAACCTCTAAAAAATGCAGTGGTGTGATCTTGTGGCTTAAAACTAGAAAAATCGTAACACATTCGCTACCACAAATTTGACAAAAAATTTATATTTTACTGAATCATCGAGTGAACTGTAATTGAGCTCAACCAAACAACGTTTCAAGTGACAAAAGTAGGTAATTAGATAACGCAATAACGTCCTGGCCACGCTGATGCCAAGACAGCCAGTTTCCCGCGCATTTAATTAAGTAACTGTAAGTGCTGCCAACCTATGTATTTTTAAAAAGGAAATATCCCACGCTGTAGAGAATGTCATTTGTATCGTTCTTTAAAAATCTCAATTTCACAAAATATACCATTTACAATGTTGTTTGCAAATGGTGTTGTTGTTTGCAAAATTTAATGGTGTTGTTACATTCAATTAAAGTTAACAAAAATCTGTTGGTCATGAAATTTATAATTATTTTTTGTCCTAGAAGTTTTTTAAGACTGTCACTTTTAAGATAGGTATAGTTTTGTATGACCAAAATCACTAAAAACCCTCAAAAGATCCCAATCTTCCAGGATTCAGATATTTCCTTAGGATTGGCATTAGAGTGGCAGTTAATTATAAATTTAGCAAGACAGCTATTAACAAAGTCAACCATTTTATTTATAAAATGAAATTAATTAAAAGAAAATCCCTCAACAAGCTACCAGCAACTAGTAAAAAAATTGATGACCATCTTTTATGAAAACAATATTGCTAAGAATGCTAAGTTCAACTTAAAGTTTAAACTGAAGTTAAAACAGTTGGTGTTGTTTTCAAAACTCAATTAGCAATTAAAGATAAAACCTTGAATGTGTGTCTTTCTCTCTGAGTGGGACATATTTAGTATTGTTTATCCTGTTATATGACGAGGGAAACTACTTAACTCTCAACGCTTGTTTTAAACGTCGTTAAATGTTTGTTGTTGTTTAATTAGTTGTGTACAAGCTATAACGAACCATAGGGTCGGGTTCTTGTCCTAATCCAAGTATTGATCACCAGTGTGGTGGCCAGTTCTTAATTACTGCAGTGAGCCTGAGTTCACACTAAAGGGGACTAGGGAGCTCAATAGCAACAAGTAATTTACTTTATATAACAAATAAAACTTAAACATTCCATTTTGTGGTCTCTCTATAAGTTTTGTTAGTTTCCGAATTTCATGGAAATTGGTCAACGTTACCACATTTCATTCACGTTTAGGCTACATATTTGATCATAGCAAATCAAAATGCTTGGATATTGACTGATTTATTTGTAACTTGCATCATAATTAGCATCAAATTAATAGGGGTTTTTTTTTAATAAACCATAGTATTGCATTGTTTTATTTGCATTTATAATATAAAAGAAAATTAATTGTTAATATTGGCTACCTAGTAACCTTTAGTGTGAACTCAGTTGAGCGGCAGTAATTAAGGACCAGCCACCGCACCGCACCGGTGGACAATCCCCGGGTTAGGACACAGACCCAACCTATTCACAATAGCTTGTCCACAACACATCGGTAGCGAACATGTTGTCAAGCTTGTGATATCTGCATTGTCGACTATGAACACTACTCTAGATACGTGAGTCGTGGCTTGAGGGCGTGAGGTAGTGAGTAGTGAACGGAGGGGAGAGGGAGAGAGAGAATGATAGAGGGACATACCTGTAGCAGTAAAGGTCTTCGTAGAGGGAGCCCACACCTCATGTCACCCTGGCATTACCATGCACACAACATTAGTCCAACACCAAACAAACATAACATACTCATAACACCTGTCCTTCACAACCCTAGATTCCAATGTGTGGAAACTTCAATTTCAGTTCTTTTGAATCCTAGGGGTTATAAATGAACGATTGTGGAAGGATAATACAAACATTTTGCAATATAGATGCTAGTCTATTTGTGTCATTTTTTATGTTAGCCTCCGGATTACGTTGAATACATGAATTGGTGTAAATACCTGCTTCGTTGTAATCCAAAATGATTATCATTTTGGTTCACAATGAAGTAAAAAAGGCAGTAGGCCAATTTTGTTCTAATACTGATCAAAATATAACCATTAAAATCAGAGTGAAGGGATTATAGTCTTGCATGCAAATTTGATATTCAGAAGGCCAACATGAGAATAAGAAATATTGAAATATAGATTGTTTTCCATAATCCTACATTCCTTAACTTAAAGGCTGAATTGCAAGAAATTAATTATGAAAGTTTTATTTAGAAGACTTCAAAGCTATAAAACAACATAATTAATTTATAACAAGCTTATGAACTCAAAAGACAAGTTATTTTACAAAACCGAAAGTTATCAATTAAGCTGCATTTTTGTAGAAAGGTATGATGGCTTGAATTGGAAAGCATAGAAAATATAATCTTGTCAACTAATTTATTTCCCTGTATTACTGTTCAATGTAGTATTAGTGATAACCTACACCATTTGTTCTGAAAATGGGCCAGATAACAATTGATTTAATGATTGATAGCGAGTAAAACATTGATTATAAGTTCACTTGCCAATTTTATATTTATTTACGGTCTCCCAGAAGTGTTAACATGCCTTACAGTTTTTATTAGCTTGTATTGTGCATTTCCTTGTTCAATTTCATTGAGAACCCAACGTCTATTGGAATAGCCTACTTTTTGGAGCATTACTATTAGTTGGACCGGCATATTGTTTAAAATACATAAATTAATGATTTTTAGGCTGAATTTTGTTTGAGTTTATTTAAAAGGAGAAAAAGCCAGCCATGGTTGGTCCAACAATGTTTCCAAATGTAACTTTCACCAAACAAAAGCTAAAAAAAATTCAACTCTTTTTAAAATTGTATAATACAGTATATCACTTATTAAAGATTAATTTAAATTTCAAGATTGTTCCTAAAAGTTTGTATCGTTAGTATAAAAATAAGTTTAAATATTATCTACATAATCAAGGAAATTAAATAATGTGTTAAATTCAACAGTGTTATTTTATTTTTAAAGGACATGGCTTTTAGGTGAGGTAATTAATTCAGTTAAATAAATATTTGTGGTTGTCACTCACCTTTTTGAAATCAGGAGAACACAGTCCTTGTCACAATAGCTCAAAAGCACACTCAAACACACATTTAAAATAAAAAATAAAATTAAAGTACCAGACTAAAGTTCTCTTATTTCCGTTGTTTCGATTAAGTGTAACCTACGTTTCTAAAATATCAGAACACGTTTATGATAGCAGGCATCAAATAAAGTGGGAAGAAAGTTGTCTACAAGGAGCCTAATTGGAAAAAAAGAAATATGATAGAGGCGTTATTTATTTTGTCAGATAAGGACTCATTGGCTTAAGTTTCCATCGATATTATACCGGTTTACAACCTGTGAATAAAGACAGAAATCAAAGTATGTACAGTAAAGTCTAAACAAAGGAAGATAGTGGCATCAGCTGATCAAGATAACAAAGCTTCCCCTCCCCCTCCTCCACCACCGGGGTCGTCAGCCGTGGTTAGGCGCTCACAACGTCTGCGTGAGAGAAATACTATATAGGGCAACCTTGAAAACCCCGCTTGTTGACACTGGTGCGGCAAAACGTCGGAAATAAAAGAACTTTAGTCTGGTATTTTATTTTTTATTTTAAATGTGTGTTTTTGAATTATTGTGACAAGGACTGTGATATCCTGTTTTCAAAAAGGTGAGTGACACCCAGAAATATTTATTTAACTGAGTGTTATTTTAGTTGATACTTTCATTTTATTGATCTAGATAAGGGGTTTATTTAGCTTTGACAAGTCTGATTCTCTTTGTATGCAAACATTACATCCTGCAATAAACATGGCGTTTGTACTGTTTGAATGAGAGATTGCATACAATATCGAGTATCGAGAAATAACTCTTTTACAAAATAAATTTTAATCAAAGTCTAATTTACTCAATCGTCTAAAAAAGTCACAATACCTGTATGCATTTAATAAGGCAAAATGCTCATTCCTGGCAACAATGTTTATATAGCTCCAACTACACAAACTTACAACATAAAAGATAGTTACACAGAGTAGGAGTGTGTAACTGTCATGCAGTATTGAGGTGGTGAAGTTACCTGTTGTATTTGCCCAGGGTAGGGTGGTGGAGGCCCCGGGTATGGCGGTGGTAGACGGGGTGGAGCCTGCGGAGGAGCATTGGCGGGCAGAGGTCTTGGAGAAACACCCCCTACACCCACGCCTAACACATGGCGATGCAACTGCTGTAGCCTTTGTTGTGTTGTCACCACTAGAAACAAATGTCATAGTAACTTATCTGCCTTCTAAGTTTGCTAAAAGCAGTTACGTTATAAGGAAACTAGGATGTTATTTATTTATTTTTAATTGATTTATATTAATCACGTTACATCAATGTTTTGAATGGTGATTCATCAGTTTAATAACAAAGTCTGTTGTAACAAACAATAACAACAAACATACCAATACTTAAAAAATAATTATTCTGTTTTTAGGAAATTCTCTACTGAATAAAAAGTCTTCTCCAATCTCCAGTAGCCATTTATTAAGATATTATTTAATTTTGAAATGCAATCTATTTCTTTTAGTGTTGAAGGCAGCTTATTATTTAAATTTTGGGTCCCGTATACTGTGGGGATAAATGAAATAATTTAAGTCTATGTTGCACTGGTTTTATTACATTTGTATATGTTGTGTTATTGTTGTGAGTGGACTGACTCTATAAACGTATCCAAGTTACTCTTAACTATTGGAGAAAGATGATAAATATAAGCGCTATCAAGCGAGAATTTTGAAATGTCTGATGATACCTTGGTTGATGTTTTGCAGTCGAGGAATGCCTTGGACAGAGGTGACGGTGGAGAAGGTCGGAGAGAAGGCTACTCCTGCAGGAGTCTGAGGTAACATTGCTCCAGGCGGCTGTGACAGACATTGTACTCAAATACATATCAAATGTCTTTCAACTTAAACTTGGATTGAAATTAACATTTTGGCAGAATAAGTCAAATGTATTCAATCTTCACTTAAATGGCTCAATTTTGAAATGGTTACCAGTACTATAATTACAGTAGGTACATTTCCATCCAGTTGTTAGGCAGCAAAAATAATGATCAGCATGTTTTTAATCAGCGATGATCATTTTTGATATTCTCGCTGTATTTAAAATTGACATATATGCAACTCAACTTATTCATTAGAGATATTCACAATACAATAAAGTTCAGCAAAGAATATGTGACATGTCAAATATAATACAATGCAAATAAATACTGTTAATTCGACAAATGTACAATCATATTATTTAAACTAGTTATAAATAAATAAGGAATTAAAATAATAAGGAATAGGTAAGGAATTTAATAATTTCATTACCACCAGGGCAAAGCACAATATATTTTTCAGGTAGTTCTAAGAAATTATTTACTTTCAAAGGCTCAATTGTAAAAAAGGGTTTGTGTTGAAAACTGTTATAGTTTGCTTGTTTATAGATATATTTTTATCAAATTTGGCAAATTGATTTATTTAATACTAAACTAACAATTTTACTTATAAAACACACTTTTTCCTTCCTTGTAGTCAGCAAACTTGAGTACTTGTTAAGCTTGATATTATTTTAATATGGAATAAATAAATCTGACATATTTAAGAAAATGTTTTAGTAAAAATTTAATCATAAATGGTGATTAGCTGAGTCTGCAGGTTTGCTGTAACAAGGGGATTTGGATTTTGGTTTTCAAGGTGTCCTGTGGAGGAGTCTACCTAGTTGAGTTTATATTGTATATTTCTGGTTTCTGATTCTAAATTTCTAGTTCTACATTCATGAACTAGCAATGTACACAAGTCAGCTAAATTCCTAGGAATCAGTATTTCCACAACCACCTTACTAGAGGAGCTTGACACTACAGCCCTCCCATCCACCACACCACACAATTCAGTAAGAAGCCATCGTATATTGGCTACAAAATTCTGAATTCCCTCCCACTGCACATAAAAAAACCTATCAGGAAAGTAACTGGAAAAGAAACTTTGGAACTGGCTTGTAAATCAACCAGTGTACTCAATCAAAGATTTTTTTACCAAAGAAGATAATTGAAAATTGTGAGGCAAGACCAACTTTCCATTAAATGTAGGCTACTGTATTTTGACGCTAATTTATTACTTGAATAAATTACAAATAAAGATGATTGTCTATTGTCTACTGATATTTACAGGCTGGGTAGTTGGAGTGGTAACGGTCTGGGTGGTTGAAGTGCCAACTGGTTGTTCAACCGTCACCGTCAAACTCTTGGCTATGGTTGGGTCAGCAGGTTTGGCTTGTGTGGTAGCAACAGGTTTGTCAGATTGTGATTCCGGCTCCACTTCTTTCTTCTCGTTTCTGTTATTTGCTCTAGAAAACAAAAAGATTATGAGTTAGTTCCTACTAAAAAGATTTTTTAAATACAGGTGTTATAAATATAAATGTAATGAAACAAATTAGTAAAAAAATCTTATTGTTATTCAAGAGTCTGTTTAAGGCTAGTACCTTAAATTTTCTACTCGTGTCGTTACCACTATTTAAACAATTTGCTTACACTGCTTTACCTACGGCAGTGTTTTAATTACTAAAAATCACTACCTACTCATAACTTCTAAGAGAGGTTATGTTTTCGTTTATAACCTCTCATTACCACTGACAGTGATGCGACGAAACATTGTACCAAACACTAATTGCACCACTCAACAATTAAATGGTCCTTAACGGCTGATCAGTGCCGTCCCTAGGGTTGGCAGCACCCGAAGCAAACGTGGTCATGGCGACCCCCCCCCCCCAGTAATTGTCGCATTCGCATATTTTAATACTATGTTAATACAAATAGCCGCTGCGCGGCGTCCCCTCAGCTACGGGGCCCGGGGCAGCTTGCCCCTCCTTCGGACGGCCCTGCAGCTGATTAGTTGAAGTTCAAATTATTACAATTTTACATCTACTCTCTCAATCCTTGAACCTCATTGGTCCGTTACCCGTGTTGTTATGAGTAAAACTATGCTGTTATGAAAGTAAACAATGCTGTTATGTAAAACTTTTCAATTCTAATAACTGAACTGAAACTGCTACTTTAAAAAAAACTGTCGCAGGTAAAATATCGTATATGGCCTTGTCTTAAGTATGTCTTTTTTTGTCAGACTTGTAAAATGGAAAATGATTCAATAGTTTTGGTTAACATACTGATAATTTTTATATTGACAAAGACAATGTTTTCGCCGGGTAATTGCAAAGATTTCAAACAAAATATGGGAGGACTATATTGGTACTCTGGCAATGTACAACCTCTATATAAAAATAATAATTTAAACTTCATATTTTGGCCTAAAGATATACTTAAAGGTTGCGAGAACCTATTTGAGATATTAATATATAATGTATAAATAGTATATGGAATACTGACGCTGTATCTTTCTTTGAGTCTTCCTCTTCAAACTCATCTACATCAAAAATATTTGTCTTTTCTCCTCCTCCAACTTTATCCAACTCGGGGTCGGCATATTCGAGAATGTTGAAATCAGCTCCCATTTCAGCTAAACAAAGATCATATTATCGGTGTTAATCTAATAAAAAAAATATGAATAAGTAAATTAAAAAAATTTGGTAGCACAAACAACATGATAGATAAATAGTAAAGTATGCATAGTAAACAAAGTACCTACAGTGATCAAATGTTTAGATATGGTGGAACCTCAATTAACCATCACTCTTCCAAATGCCAGTCTTACAGTCTATATTGTTTCACTTTATAGTTATGTACAAAAAATGTAATTTAGGTTTATGCCACATTAGATTTTAATAATCAATATGTATTGCAAATTAAGTGATTCCATGTGTAATTGACGTCCACACTGTGTTATTTCTTTTCAATATCATTGCAATTTTCCAAAACTGAAGTAATTCATAAACAAATTAATATTATCTGCCTATTCAGATAACTGTCAGAGGTGACTGTTCAACTTGTGATGATAGATAGGGTTTTACTGTTCAGTTAGATCGTAAAAAAAAGGTTAATAGTCGGCAAGACCACCAGCCAGCTTGGATTTTGCCCATAACGGCAATGTTAATGGTTAAAGCGTATTACGGCATTGTTTATTAACATAAAAAGTTGCAAAATATCTCATTTTAAAGCTATTGAAACCTCAGATGTAATTTGCCATCTACTTTTTACTTTTAATTGTTATTATTTTGTCAAACGACATAAATATATTAAACTGTGATTTTTTTCAACCTCTAACACAAAAGTTTTAAAACTCCGAAAAGCAATTCACAAGGAAAATATATTTAAGAATCACATAACATTTTCTGTTCGATAATCAAGCTTAGGGTGCATGATTAATATGCTTCATTGTGAACGCATGCTTTTGCTGATTGGCGCTAGGACAACCATTGTTTAGCCTGGCATCTGACGGTCTACGACAATGCAAAACTATTGACTCCTGCGGACTCAATGACCTGCTATTATTTAAATTAAGACCTGTATTTGAATGCATTTAAGATTTCCCAACAAAAAATTATATTTAAAATGTAAATTTGAGGTAATACACTGAAAAACATACAAGACTCAGATAGTGAAATGAATTCAACTTGTTGGCTTACCCAGCAGTTCGTCATCATCCTCAACCAAATCTCCTAGTATAGCATTGACACCTTCCACTTCAGCCAAGGCTCCACTACCCTCCTCTTGCTCCAACTTCTCCAGCTCTGCAGTCACAGACTCGGGAATCTCTTCTCCCACCCCGGCTCTCTCTCCTGCTGTAACACACAACGTTGTAGAAAAGGCTCAAAACACTTCTGGAATCTACAATATCTATTGTGATGATAGTTATCGTTTTAAGTATTAAGGACTAACTTTTATGAAGCAATTTGAGAACCATGCATCTGCTGGAAGAAAAATAAGCCAAAAAGACTGAACATCATCAGACACCTGTTAGGAAATGGGAAGTAAAGATATTCTTTTTGTGCTTAAAAATAAAAAAATAAAATCAAGCTTCTGCTATATAAAACCATTGACTATACACAGAATAGACTTCCAATGTAATGTTAAAATGTAAACCCCAGAAAATAGATGAAGTTCAGGACTATCTCACCAGAGGGTACTAGTGTACAGTAGACCCCCTCTTAACCGACCCTAATGGGACCGGACCTAGGTCGGATAACTTAAAAGGTCGGTTAAAACGGGCAATCCCTAAAATCATAACATAATGAAGTGCTATTCATTTGGAATGATATAATCATTATTTTGAAGTCATACTTGCATTATTTATCAAATGAACTACTCTTATCTCCTTTTTCGTATTGATAGAAAAGTCACAAATAAACACAAAAATGTAAATCTTCTTAACACATCTTCTTAACTTAATCTCTGTACGGTTGGAAAAAACAAGAAACAGTCATGTTTATATGAAAATTAAATTATTTAATAAACTGCCAGAAAACATGTGGAATATAACTTCAAAACAGTTTGAAAATAAGATTAAAATACGGTTAAGAGAACATATTTTTTATACTGTTGATGAATTTTTAGCTTGTGACATTAGTACTTTAAGAATTTCAATTGGATAAGTGTTTAGATTTTATATTAATTGTTTGTTATGTCATTCCCTGGTGTTTTTATATTTTGTTATTGTTTTTATCTATAAATATTCTATTTTTCAATGTAGGCCTACCTTTTACTTAGAATAGGCTATTTACATTACATGCTTGTGACTTTGTCAATTGCACACATGTGTTTAAAGACAATAAAAATCTTTGACTTTGACTTTGAAAACACGGTTAAGTCAAATAGGCCTACTTTCAGTGGAATATTTTATAATACTAGGGAAGAGTCAATAAAAATTCCTATTTTAATAACTACTACTGTAATGTATTAATTGATGCTTTCCAAATCCATCGTAATACAGTACTGAACCTTTTGTCAAAATTAAAGATACAAGCAACCATTTTGTTATAAGACAGGATGTTTATTTATAGCCTCTCACTGGAGGCTCGAGGCACAAAAACTATCTTGACCTTGGAGTTGTTAACTCCCCTTCCCTGCCCCGCAAGTTAAGTTGCATTGTTTGTTTACTCCAGCGATAAGATAATCAGTTCTCAAAATCGTAACACACTTTATGATGTTATAAATTTGCCGCACAGATAACAAATCAGATGAGATGTGCTCGAGCTACGATGATAACAAACTGACAATAGGCTATGCTATATTATTTTTTGTGATCAATACAAAATAACTAATTCTTAGTCATATCCTGTGGAGATAAGCGTATAGTTCAGTTCTCATCGCCCAGCGTGGGAGCGGAAATGCCGAGATTCCTAGAAAGCGGTTGGTTAAAACAAACTGTATTATTTTATGATCGAAGGCGGATAATCCGATTATCGGTTAATACGAGGTCAGTTAAGAGGGGGTCTACTGTATTGGGTTAAATATTAATTGAAATCATTGCAGTATCATAGCAAACAGCTGATTGATTTATCACTAGACACAGAATATTGTAATTAATTGGTAGACTACGGTACTGTATCTCAACAGATTGCACCACGTTTTTTTTGCTTCAAATTTCTCCATTTCTTGGGAAGTCTATTCTGTGTATATTCAATGATAAAACTAATGTATATACCACTTTTTCTATGTTTCTGACTTTTATGATATTTAAAATAATTTCAAAAGAAACCTTAACCTTAAGTTTAGTTTAAAGTCAAAAGTTAAAAATCTTTTTAAAGTTGGTAGGCTAACAGAAGAAAGTTAAACAAGCTATAATTTAGCAACTAGGGAGAAATATTTATTTCTCTTTTTAGCAAGAGAGTGAGATTTGGCGGATTTTGAAAAACACTTCATGCAAAAGATTGAATCAGTTTCATGGTTACGGAGCAATAACATTTATGATTGGGAAAATAATATAAGAATGTTTGAAATTTAAAACGAGAAAGAAACATTCAAAGATATCCACCTGCTAAACGTTGAGGATCAGCAGGTGAAGGAGTGACTAGCCTCGTAGCATCTCCTGGCGGACGAATGTTCCCATCTGTAAAAAATGGGATAAACTCACAGAAACTAGTAGAGAAATTATTGTTTAGCAGTGCACTTCTACACATACTTAAAAACTACAACACTTAAGAAACAAATATGCCGCCTCGAATATCTCAAAAAAAGGTCGCAGCAGGATCGGGTAGCAGAAAGTTCAGTTAACGCAGAAAAAATTTTTAAATATGTTTAAAATTATTAACATTTTTAAGTTTCTCTGTTACTTTAAAATGTAGATGTAAATTAAAACCACTTACTTTTTCTGTTTTGAAAAAAAAAAAAATTATTACTAAGCCACAAAGTAAAGACACCACTATGGAAACAGTGCAATGTAAGATAAATTGATGTAGTTACTCCACACAATGACAGAACTAAGTTTATGGTATACCGATATGACAAGTTGATAAACTGTATGGTATGCAAATGCCTAAAGCCTAGTGCGTATTTTCCGAGTAAATACAGCAGCAATTAAAGGTCTTAACATACTTGCACGTACAGTAATACCACTAAAAGAAAATCACACGATTTAATAGTACTGGGTTATCCTCAGTATAGGTAGGATAATCGAGGATCGTATGATCATGACTTTAATATTATGTATCAATGTTGATAAGTCCGAAATAATATATAGCCTAAGTCATCTCTGGTAAAAAAAGGATATACTGCATCATAATTAAAATAAATAACTCTTTATAAGTGGGATTGATCAAATTTGAGAAAAGCATACCTGAGAAGGGCGGGCGCTGGACCAAATGATCATAAGGATCAAGAGGATTTCTAGGAGTCGCTAGTCTCATCATTTGGGCAGATGGGAAGCCAGGTCTCTGTTGTAGTAACAATCTGACTCTTGCGTCGACTCCCTACAATCACAACCACAGCAAAATCAACACAACCATAGAGTAATAATTGTTACAAACACACCAGTTATTGCAAATAGTACACCAATCAAAGAGTACCACTGGTTACCAACACAGCAATTGATACAATAAATGAAACCATAGAAATCACAGATACTTGTTACAACCAAAGCGAAAGCGTTTCTTATAACCACAGCTATCCATAATGCAACAGTCACAATCATTCAATCACTATGTAATGGTAGTTAAAACCACAGGAAAGGTGTAACAATCATGACAACCATTACAATCACAGTGCAATAATCTTTTTTACACTCGTGTGAAAGGTAAGCGTAGAAAAACCTCAGACACTCACAGTTGCAATATAACAATTATAACTACAGCGGTCAAAGTGTAAACAAACAAAGCGATCAATAAAGGTTTTGAACCTTGATATTACTGCATAAATATTACCAAAGACAACTTGACAAAAAAATAAGTTGAATAACATTTAGAGTTACAGGATGAGACACATGTAGGAAAAATATTGAACTACGGTACACAAATAGTTTCCGACACAATATTTTTGTCGTCATTACAAAAAAAGTAGGACCAAAAAGACTAGACACGATAGTGTACAATATAATTGGGTTGAATTTTTATCGACCAATAGGACAATCCAAGGAACCATTACATATGAAGAAATAAGATATACCGTCCAACATTGTGGGTTTGCAATGAAAAAGAACTGTTGTATTGAAATGAAGCTATTTCTGATACCCTGTCACGATACTTAATAAAACTGGACTTGTTAAAGCGACCAAAATAAAGTGATCTGAAATACTATTTTCAATAAAGATAATTTAGTCATAAAATCAATACAAATATGGTTTGGAAATAACAAAGATTTTTAAAAATAATTCTGCTCTTAATGTTAGTGGTTCCTTTGTTAACACCTGGTAAAAGGTTTGTGTTTAACAATGGTCAATGAAGCAATAGTAAAACTTTATAACTCCATACTACACCCTGGGTAAATTACACAGAAATAATCTACCTGTCCTCTAGGATCTGTTGAGAGGTTAGCGTTGGGCAGTTGAGAGGGGAGCCGAGGTGTCCGTATGATCATCTGTGTCTGAGTCAAAGGTAGACGAGGAGTGGCAGGGCGAGGGGCCATGTTGGGGGGCAGCGGGTGTCTGAACGTAGCAGGACTGGCTCCATCAAACCCAGGCCCAGTCTGTGTACCGGCTTGCGAGTCACCTCCGACAATGCCGTCTTCTGAAACAGAAGCAGCAGTTTTCATCAATTACATGCAAGAGTGTGCAAAAAAAGTATAAATTCTTCAAATCAGGTTTCTTTCAATCAGACATAGACATATTTTATTAGAATATAATATATCTATGAGTGAGTGGTAAATTTTATCTATTGATTTATCTTACTTTTGCCTTTAAATTGTTTAGCATTCAACATTTTTAGATAAAATGGTAGTTCATTATGCTATCTTAGGCCCATATAAAAAAAATGTTTAACTATGTCAAATATGTTCAGCTTGTAAGTAGGTAATGTAAAGTTTTTTTGTTTCTAATACTGTAATTATGATCTAATTTGAAAATGGGAGACTGAAATTGACAAATATTTACAACATTGGAACAATCACTATTAAATACCTAAATCACCTTTAGGTATTAAAAACTTGAAAAGTTGCCCATCGTGATCAGATAAGGCAGTGATAAAACATTCTACTGTATAACTTTTATAATCTATGTTAGTGATAAAATTATCGATAGCTGATTCACCTGTTTCAGTTACTCTTGAGGGAATATTTACTGTATTAAATACTGTAGTAAATAAATTTAAACAATATTTTCATGGACATTAGAATTGATCTTCAACAATTTGACTTTTTCTGTCAAATTGTCTTTTCTGCCATGGATCCAATTTGGAATTTTACTGATGTATGGCCCAGAAATGGTGTGAATTCTATGATTTCTTTTCTGAACAAGTTTTTACATGATGTTCTCTTACTTGATTAATCGCGGAGGATTGATGTAATGCATTCAATACTTTTATTTGTTTTTTTCTTGTCCACCAATGGTTTGTTCTAATGATAATCTATATAAAAAAACTATTGAAGACAGCAATTACTTAAAAAAATTACCTTGACCCCAAGGCCTATCTGACTCCAATTTGGTTTTGATCTGCTGTCTCTGCAGCAAGTCACGAAGTTGGCGGCTCATTTCTGGGTTCATGGTCCGAGCCCCAGCGTGTGGGAATGGAGCTCTGATATAGCCAGTAGGCCCTACCATCCTAGGCACCTGCTAAAATAAAACCAAAAAAAAGTGAGTACTACTTTAACCTAATATTAATGCAATGAAACTAAAAGTATAAATGAAATCATAGCCTCGCTCTTACCAGCCTGACAAATGACAAATTAAAATTCTAAAACATATAATTTGGGAATGTCCCTAAACGTTAGGTAAAATACATACAGTGTTATAGAAAAGTCCTGGAACGGTTAAACATTTAAAAAAATAATGCACATCAAATTAAAGGTCTTTTTTAGTAGAATACACTGCCGCAAACCGCACTTCAAAAGGTTGATCCTGCGCAAAATGACAGTTGTTCAAAGATTCATTTAATTTACATTGCTATTATACGCTTTCTCCTCAGGGGGCACAGCCCTAGTAATCGGAAGAAAATTGTTAACGTAAGGATAGGTCGATATGCACATCAAATTAAAGGTCTTCACTTTTAGATTACGATGCCGTAAATTCAAGCTCAAAAGAATGCCTGAGTAAAAAATGGCAGTCGTTCAAAGATTCAAAATGGCGGATTCAAGAAATCTTTTAGCTCTATCTTTAGCTCTATCTGCATTATTTTTTAAAATATTTAACCGTTCCGGGACTTTTCTATCACACTGTATGTTCAGGGAGCACTCCCATATTGCTAAGGGTATAAAAAAATCATCCAAATATAAAATAACAATCCAAAGTATATTTTTTAGACTAAATAATAATAATATTTTGATTCCCTCAATTTTACTGATTCTCTAAGAAATTACAGTAGATCGCTAATCCGGACTTGACGGGGAAGAGACAAGTCTGCACTGTGGAAAGTCCGGTTTGAACACAATCGTTCAACAGAATATACAGAAAATGTATTGAAATTGTGGTTTACATTATAAATTATAGCTCATTTCACAGCCTATTTGGCAAACTAAATTTGTACCTGAACAGGTGTGATATGAAAAATATTAAAACAGCTGCGTGGTTAAGCAAATTATGGCTTTATGGATGGGCAGTTACTGTTTATGGCTGCAAAATTCTAGTCTTACCTGAGGATTAACAGGTGATTGTGCATCGCTGGGCAGGGTTACTACTTGATCTGCGGTGAGTTGGCGAACTCGTTGTGTGGCTGGAAATAATTGGTTGAAATTATAAACTACAGCTAAATATATTTGTAAATTCAGTAGACTCCCTCTTATCCGGACTCCTCGGGAATGAGGCCGGTCCAGATAAAAGTTTCTCCAATTAAACCGGCGTCCCCTAAAACTGTACTCTAACGTTTTGTACAAAGGTTCACAACAATCATTTAGAGTATGAACGTTTCTAACGATGCATGTGCGCGCCACAGGAATCACTCAAACATCAACCCAAATATTTTACTTAAATTTGCGAGAACCATGTACAGTATTTAGACACATGATTATTGGTTTAAAACTTTTCCACGAGAAAGGTAGTTTCAGTACCGCCCACTTCCTGCCGATCCAGTCCGGTTAAACAGATGTCCGGTTAAAAGGTGTTTGAATGAGAAGGAGTCTACTGTACTCTTATTATAAACCTAAAAGACGCACTGTTTTATTTTACTATTAAGGAAAGTTTGAAAAATAATAAACTACTCCATCAACCAAACATTATAAATTGGTAAAACAATAGATGGATTAAATAAAATGCTACTTACAAAAAACACTCACTCCATTACACAAATCTTTTGGTTTCATAATTTTATTCTTGACTTAAAAACAGATTTTTGAAATCAGTCCAATAAAATCATAAGCATCGATTCTGCAGTTGGTTCATGGTAATCGACACTTTCAGGATCAGGAGGGTATTTGGGTGTGACTTTAAGTTAAATTGCAAATAACTTTTCTTTATTTTAATTTTATCTAAGTGATGATGTCGTAACCCTCTAGGCCTATTCTCAAATAATGTGTAAAACTGTTCTGGTTGAGAGCCTAGCGTTTTAAAATGTAAAGTTTGGACATTAAACAAAATTGTAAATGTGTAATTATGTGACAAACCTTGCACTCTCTGATCCTGCATCATCTGTTGTTGTTGTTGAGCCTGTTGTTGTCTAAGAGCTTGCAGCTGTTTCCACTGTCGTTCCTGTTCCGCTTCCCTCACACTCTTCGCCTGTTGCAGCTTATCCTGTTCCTAACCACACCCATACATCGTCAACATACCCTTGATGAGTTCACTTTCATCTTACCTTGACGTATGTTCGCTTTTAGTAGACTTTGATGTTCAGTTCAGGAATTAAGTTTTGAGAGACAATTTGTTTTCATTATGAAATAGTAAAGTTTCTTTTGTCTACTCATTTTATTATTGGAAATGGGAAATTCGTACTAGAGTTAACTTTTTTGTATATTAACTTTGTAAAACCCTAGGGATATTTTATTTGTTTATGTATATTATAAACCAAATTTGAAGCTTAGTAAAAGATTTGACATGAGCAATTATTACAAATTCAACTGTTTATCTGTACTTGCGGACATAAAAAGGAATGTGTAATATAATGAAAACTAATACGATTGAATTCATAATAAGGTAAAGTCTTCAAGACACAAAAAAATTATTTCTTTTAACTTTGTTTATAATTTGGTAAGCAGCAACAAACTAGTCCTTTTATAATTTAGACTTGATTTGGCAACCTATATTTTTATGGTAATATCACAATTTAAAAATATCTCTTATTTATTCTAAAAGTATTTTTTTATGGATTAATATAATTAGTCGTTTACATTATACATGGCACAAACACATATTTATAACGTTTAAACAATTTTATGTTATCTAGAAACTGTACATATTTTTAACGCGGTTATCAAATGCTATGAAGTTTTAATACTGATTTCTACTTCATTCCTTGTTTTATTTTTTAACTGCAGTAAGCAGTACTCAATTAATGACTTTAAATAGTCAAAACAAAATCATTAAACATAAGAATTCTTTGTTCCCTGGTGATACCATAATTTCAGCTAATCAATTTTTGAAGTTGTAGATAGTTTGTTTCTGAGAAAATGTTACAAAACGTCAAATCATTATTATTTATGAATTATTTTGCATATTGTTTTGCTTGGTTATAGCAAAAATGGTACATTAACAAATGTCTGGTAAACCAAGTTTGATAGTACACTACTATCTAAAATACTCCAGATAACTATCGGTTCCTATTTTGTGATTTCCAGTGGACAGATTGGTTTTAGAAGAGACAAAAGTACTATTTCCGCCATAGTTCCGCTTGCAGATAGTTAAACAGGGATGAACGAGTTGCAAAGAATTGCTTGTAAGTTCTGTAATTTATACAAGGCCTTTGACTGTGTGGTTCCAAGTACATGGAAATATTTGAGTTAACATCCAATCTGAAGAATTGAAAATAGCTTAGGTATCATATTTTTACTGTCTGATACGAACTACCAACCTAGGGTTACCAGACATAAAATAACATTAACCATTTTTATATGAATTATATTTTAAAGTCATTAGATCCAAGTTTCGTTTATTAAAAAAATATTTTGTAAATATTTAAATTCAGTTTAAACATAGGCCTACTCATAGAGTTTTAATAGTTTTGTTTCACTATCAAAACAGTAAGAGTACTCTATGGATCTACTTACTTTAACTTAAATGTCATGCTATATACGATTGATCTATTTATAAATGCATTAGTGACAACGTAAAAACTTTGTGATTTAATTTTACAAATGTTAGTGGATAAAGACTACCTCTGCTGCACCAAAGTCATAAAAATACATAAATGTTAAAAAAATCGAAACCATACAGTTAGTTGGTTTATTTTTGGTATAACAATAATTATTATGTATTAGATAGTAAATTAAAATCAATCAGAGACAACATGGAATTAAAGAGTACCACAACCCATGCAGTTACACCTACAAAAATTTGACTATCTATTAGGTTTATTGAATCAAAAAAATTATTCCAAGTTAAAACCTTGTGATTTTAAAATTTCCTAACAATGAAAATATTTTGGGATCTAGTGTAAATCAAAAAAGCTATAGGTTTTAACTTTTAACCTCTGGAAAATACACAAGATAAACTTAATTTAATTACTTTGTCATACAAAATCTATTTTAAATTCTAATATCTCAATCCAGATATTTAAAATTTATAATCTTACATTTATTTTAAGATCCAAGCCTCGTTTATAAAAAATATTTTTAAATACTATGAAAAAATATGAAGAAATCAAAACAAATGATGTTGAGCATGACCCTTTTTGCTTTTAACCTGAAAAAAACTTAAATAATAAAAAGTAATATTAAAAAAATATATATAATAAACTCAACAAGAAAAATTATCCAAGGATGTTTTAGTAATATATAAAACTAGTTACTCCTTTTGATAAAAAATACTTTCTTATTATTATCATTTAAATCCCTAGATAAAGGACAAATTAACTGTCATATTAAAATGATGAGACAAAGTCAAATCCTTCGACCTATGTTTTGATTCAACAAACCCCCGGTAAGATAAATCGTTTTGTAACATTTAACACTAACATACATTGAAAATATCTAAACAAATTAACTCATGCTGAAGAGATCCTATGACTGCCACCTTCTGAAAAGCTAAACACGAGCAAGCAAATGCAAAAAGGAAACAGGGTAGGAGAGGTAAGAATGGAGAGATTAAGGATAATCTTGGGGACAAAACAAAAACTAACAAACTGAAAACCAAAAAAACATCCAACAAAAAACATTGCTAAAGAGGAAAAACTAATGATGCAACAGCTCAAAATGACAAAATATCTCAGAAAACTTGTAAAAACCACATGAAAAATAAAATTGGAAAAACTAAACAACGATACAATAATCGAAAGAACATTTCCCACCATTAATTCAGGATTAAAGCTGTTTGTCGCCAAATACTGTACGGGATCCATTTGTATGACTGAGATATATATACAAACGAAAATGAACGACGATAGAGAAAAATACTTACTTCCATCATGCAAAGCCACAAAAAAAACACTGCCGCCGGGATCTCAGTATCCATAACATCATACAATAGTCCAATCCAACATCAAAACGATTCTAAAATAAACTGACGGAACAAAACTACAGTAGTCATTCCACGGTCATACGGACATCAACGAATTGAAAATACTGCAAAGAGAGAAAAAAGCGAAAGCTAATAAATGTCATCCTACATCAAGAAAGATAAAACGAACGCGAAATTGTCGCTGGTTGCTACCAACAAGGAGACAAGCGTGCGAGGCTCACCGTGGCGGGGGGGTCGTAAGCTTCCTGGCCAAGGGAGGGGAGGGTTCTCATGATCTCGGAAGGAGTGAGGACACGAATGTGTTGATCACTGAGAGGAGAGGATCCGGGAGTGTCCCGAGGAGACGACTGAGGAGGGGAGGTGGAAGTGGTCTTGGATCTCTGAGTAGAAATGAGCTGTAACACATTTCTCTGTTTGGGGTTGGATTCGGTCTGTGTCGTGTTTTCCGTGTTTGTCTGAACGGTGGCAGAAATGACGGAACCCGAAGTCATCACAAGAGGGGGGACCGACTGGATGATCTGAACTGTGGTGGCAGGGTAGTGGATGGTAGAGGAGGAAGTAGTGGGGATGATGTGGAAGGTAGCTCTAGTGGTAGAAGGCAGCAACGGAATGTACTGTATGGTAGAGGGGTGGGAAGGTATGGTGGTGGGGAATGTCTGAGGCTGAGGTGTGGGGGATGTGTTGGAGCCAGTAGAGACGTGTGCGGGGGTGTGGGTCTGAGTAGGGGCTGGGGAGGGGGAGGGGGTCTTGCGAGACGCCTGCCTCGTGCCATCACCTTGACACACCTCTGATCCTTGTGGAGACTTGCTGCGAGGAGTAGATATCACAGCAGGAGTTTCCTTCACAATCTGTCAAAACATCCCACCTACTTTGACCGCGGTACATACAAAACTTGGTGCACATTAAAGATAACCAATGGATTTGCAATGGTCCATTCTGAACAAAATCGACCACAAAACATTAGTACCAGTCTTATGTTTTGTTATCGTGGTTTTGTTAATCATATTTTAATTGTCTCTTTCAATTTTAGAATTGATAAAAAGGGAATTTTGCTTTGACAACATTCAAACCGACCCTTCTAGCGTGAGTAAACCAACTTAATTAAAGAGCATTTTTTTTATAGAGAATTTTTGAAAAATCATCTTCATAACAACTAATACTTAATTTACCTCATCAATCATCATACATTATCAGTTCCATACTTTAAAAGCTATACAATTTCCAGACACAATAAAAAAATAAAAAAATAGATAAATAAATAAGCAGTCCTATTAAAATTACAGCTTACTTGTGTTGAGTTAAAAAGAAAAGTAACCTAAACAGATATGGTTATGTTCACATAAACCATAACTCTGTGACATTATTTTCATATTGCATTTTTTAACTGATATGTTGTCAATTACAATCATGGATATTGCGAAAAAATTTAATCATTATCGAGGATTTTACCTTAAATAGTAACTGTCATGATAACTGAGGAAGATTTCTTGAAATGTTTGTTAGAACTACTCTCTTTGGGTGGAAAATATTTTTCTTATGTAGAAGCATAAATAATAAAAATGAATAAAATATACCTGATAAAACATTTTTCAATAATGGAAATAAAAAGGTTGAAATTCCATTGGCTATCTCTACCCCAAGATTAGTTACACACACATATAACATACATTACGTCCATACATGGTGTTACAGCAATGGTATACAAACTAAACAGTTCATATTTAACACATCCTAATATTGTATTAGTATTTAAATACCCCAGTGTCAACAAAACTCCCAGAAATTACGCACAATTTTGCTCACATTAAAAAGTAACCTCGATTCTAGTCGAGGCAAAGTATCTAATAATTACAAAAAATTCTTCTACTGGCAATTTATCCTTTTTGGCTTTGTGAGCAATGTACAAAAAAATGAAAGGCTCTTCCAAACGTACACAGTTTGAACAATAGTATAATTTTAAAATATTTATTAACTACTAAACGTTATACCACCTTGTTTATATTTTAACAGCTTTCTATAACTCTCCACACATTAAACTTTGAAATTGCAAATTAAGATGGAGGAAAACTATAACAAATTACTCAGGTTACATTTTACACTAAGCTACTATAGTGGTTGAGTAATTTCATAAGAAAACACACAGTTGTAAATCGGAGCATTAACTTCATGCTGAGTGTCCGATGAAAATACACAACCAACCAAGTACTTAGTGTGGACTGGCTTTGGAGTTTTAACTGTTGACACTACTGGAAGAGCTCAAATCATTTTGCAATCCAAGCTCGGAAAAGCGACAAGTACAAACTAAACTATAACTGAAAAGTGCAAGTGACACAAATAGCAACCCTGAGTGCATCAAGCAGTGTTAGGTACACTCCCCACAATATAAAACCCCAGTTCACAATGTATTCCCAGCATAGTAACTTTATACACAAGTCAAATATTTTAAAACAATTTTAATTTAACCATTCTAGTCCGTGAAGTCTGACAAAAGTCCTCATCAATAAATAAACTTCATTATGTGTCATCGTGTATTTATTTATTGATAAAGTCTTCTGACGAATTTCATTGGCTAAAATTTAATGATAGATTTGAGAATGGGTCAAATGACCCGAAACTAGTAATCGCCAGTTTATAAGACTGAAGACGGACAAAGGTACTTACCCTATTATATCAAAATTTTAAAACTTTAAAAGAAAGAGACCCTTTTGCCATCAAGGGATGATTTACATTGTAAAAGTAATTACTCACTGACTTGTAATAGAATTAAGACTTGATACAAAAGTTAATTTAAATATTTATTTTCTTAAATATTGTCTTTATTAAATTAACACGTGTTGAATTTGTTTAAAAACATTTGCAAAAATTATATACACGTTTCACAAGTAAAATTTGATCAAATTGAACTTTTGATAGTGTGGAAATGTCAGGTTTTACCTGGGCTTTCTTGTGTTGCGCATGCAAGCGGAGCATGCGATTCTCCCTAGCCTGCTGAAGATAAGGCACTCGCTGTTCATGTGTCAGGCTACGCCACACCTTCACAACATGTTTGCTTCTCTCGGTAAACACTGTAAATAACACAGTAAATACAGTATATTGTGAAAGTTATCTAAAACAAATTATTGAAAATTTTAAGCAGTACTTCATTTACTCTTTTCGGCACAAGCTAAAGCTTAACGATGGACGAAAGGCCAAGCAAAGTTGAATAGTGACCAAGGGCTGAGAAGAGACTATTGGCCAGTTTTATAAACTATTTTTGTCATACAGAATTATTTAAGCTAACTAATTAACTACAAGGAAACATTATTTATCAAAATAAGTACAGAACTACTGTTTTCATATACATCAGTGAACGAAGTTTGCAAAGGAAAGATGTAAAAATGATGTCCTGGACTCTACTTGATTCTTTTATACTATAGGGATACAAAGAATCACTTGAGCTCCACAACTCACTGGGGTAGGGTATTGTGAGTTTAAATCAAATTTTCAGCCCCCGAGGTCTTGTATTAAAATCCTGCCAAATCAGCAACGGATTTGATCTAAGTGATAATGCCGCAAACCCTAGGTCTAGCCATAAGTAAGGTAAAAAAAAATCCTGGGCTAGTACTTAGTATCCTAGGGAAAGAAATTGTGGAAGTAGTGAACACTGCACACTTACATGGGATATCCTTCTTCCACTCTGGATGGATGATGTTAGAGAAGAGTACAGGTGCGATGGTCGCCCCAGCGCCGAGTCCTTCATCTGCCTCCATGTACAACAAGTTGGCCTGGGTGAACTGAAAGTCATCTAGCCACTCGCCAAATAATGGGTTGAACTGCGGGGTGCTGGACCAAAAAAACAAAAAATAAACTACTGAGAAGAATTTTAAAATGCCAATTTAGGAATATTCTCAACGCATTTTGTATTTCTAGTCAACTAAACTTAACTTACAAAGACAACTACCGAGTAAAACTAACCCTGAGTATGTCAATCCTTACTGTCGAAATCAATAAACAATAACAAAATATGTGGAAAAGAAGAGCAAGATCAAGCTCTAGGGCCACTATACTTACTTGTTGTATTCTGGGTGGTAGTTGGTAGACCCGGGGATGGTAACTTGAGTTGCCATGTTAGGATGAGGCAGAGCTGGTCTCTGAATAACTAAAACAAAAATGTTCACAATGGTCAACCACTTGCTCTGATTAGAGAAAATAATTATTTTACCAGAGGTTTTCAGTGACTTTTGGTTTATGTCACCTTTAGTACTTTGATTTAATTCCAGTTTATTCTATCTATTTTGTCATTTGTATTTCAAACACAATTACAATTGTGGTGAGGATTTAGTGTTTTTTTGCAGTCTGGATTTTGTTTACAAATATTGCTCTTTTATGCTCAAAACCATCAGATTTCATTGTCGCAAAACATAGTAAAAAAAAACTGTAGGAGTTTTAATTTCTGATAAAAAATATTTTGGAGATTAATCCGTAGCAACAGTTTAAAGGAGACAAGAAAGTACAAGAAAGTTACCTCTTGTTTCACAAACTTATTATATTTTGAGCAGCACTAAATTCTAAACACACTAAACTAGAATGTATCAAGTTGCTGACTATCTACTACACAATGAACTTTTAACAAATATTGTTAAGATGTACCTAACAGGTTTGTGTTCCCTACCTGATGGTGATGGAGGGGGTGGTGCAGCAGTCAGGACTGATGGTTGCTGCTGGTTGTACTCAGGGACATGAGGCTCCTCTGTTAGAACTCCCTTGAATATCTCCTCCACATCCTTGCAGTCCATGTTGGGCAAACCTGGCATGCAAACATGTAAAAGGTTACTTGACAAACAAGTAATAGAGGTTACTAGACAAACATGTAATAGGTTACCGAATGAACATTTAACATATCACAAGAAAAACAAGTAATAGGTTAGGTTACGGGATGACCATGAAACATGTTACTGGACAAATATGTACTAAGTTACTTGACAATCAAGTAATAGGTTACTTAACAAAAATGTAACATGTTACTTGACAAACATGTAATAGGTTACCGGGTGAACTTGTAACATGTCCCAGACAAACATGTAATAGGTTACCGAGTGAATATGTAACATGTTACTAGACAAACATGTAATAGGTTACTAGACAAACATGCAATAGGTTACTTGACAAACATGTAACAGCTTACTAGGAAACAAAATGTAGTGGGATGGTAGGCAAACGTGTAATAGGTAACGTGTACTAGGTGTGCGTAGGTAGGTGTAATAGGTAGGAGTGAATATGTAACATGTTACTAGACAAACTTGTAACAGGTTACCGGGTGTAACATTTTAACAGATTACAAGAAAAACATGTACCACACGATGACTATAAAACATGTTACTAGACAAATACGGTATGTAACAAGTTACTTGACAATCAACTAATAGGTTGCCAAACTAACATGTAATTTGTTAGTAGACAAACAAGTAGTAGGTTACTTGACAAATGTGCAACAGCATGCTAGGAAACAATATGTAGTGGGATGGTAGGCAAATGTGTAATTGGTCACCGGGTGTTGTTGTTTTATGGTTGTGGAGCAATCCAGTTTTTCTAGAATAGTAGCTTACTGAGGCCAATACTTTCTTGTTTTAAGTATAACACATTACATTATCACATTATCATTATCACATTATTACATTATCACATTACATTATTGTAGTAGCTTATCCAATAGGCCTACCCTTATTATACAGTACTGTATTTGCTTTGTTACTGTCACACAATATTTAACTAAATAATTCAAAAAGTTCACAGTCTGTTTCAGGGACGATACATATTTTCACAGGTTACTCTCTACCATTACAATGACAATATACATTTCAATATAAAATTAAAGACTGAATTAATTACAACAACATAATGGGTGGATGTAAAACCTCAATCTCAATTACCTGTTTGACGAACCATGTTGACAAGATTGAAATGAGGTCCTAAAATATCACTTAGTTCGTCCTTTCCACTTCCGCTGGTTGCACGCTCTTCTGATTCTAGAAAGCAAAGTTCAAATTTGTTAAGTAATTACATTTATTTGTTTGATATAGGAGCATCCCTCATTACTATTTATACACTGAGCAGCAGAAAATTGTCACCTAGTAAACAGAATATCAAAAACATCACCATTCCTGCAGCTAAATCCTGTCTTACACGTGTACAACAAATCAATTCTCAGCAAAGCAGGCGATGTTGGTATTATTGTGGCTATCCAGACATTCACTTAGACTAAACATTCAAACAGTCCAACTAAAGCCTGGTAATTAAATACTATATAGTATATAATAATAAAATATACTTTGATGAATCTTACCACTCATTAGGTTTTCTTCAGTCTTCATATCAGCACTAGTTTCTGTCATTATTGTATTGACCAATTCAGTGTCCAGAAGATTGTCCGGAAGTCTCAAAATGTCTTTTAAAGCTTCAGCATCACTACCAGAATCCTCCTCCTACAATACAACAGGTTTGATAAATTTGGTTTATTCATGTCTCAGTAACATAAAATATTGTGTTACTGAATATAACACAAGATATTCTACCAACTTCGTACTACCGATTCACCATCCCACACTAATCAAAGATAAAGCCAGCATGGGAAGCAAGTTTTGAAAATAGTTCTAAACCACTCTTAGAAAATAACGTAGGAAAGACACTTCAAGAAACACGACAATGACTTTTGGGAAGGAAATTCTACAAAACTTCGAAGAATTTCTTAACTGGAAATATTTTCGATAAAAAGATAATTTACTATAAAAATCTGTATTATGTATGACAACATTGTATTACTCAATGAAATTACAATAAAGATCCTATGAGTATGACTGTTGCACAATGTTTAGGATTAGGGATGGATTGATTCCAAATGTCGATACTCGACAGATTCTTGACTTTGGAACCAGAATTGAGAATCAAACACCGAATATCAGATTTGATTCCATCATTTGCAATTAGTATGAAGAAGCCAATAAATAGCTATCAATCCAGTTTTACAGCTTTATACAGAGATTGAAAGTAATATTCATAGTGTTGTCTTCTATTACAAGACTTTCTTTTCATTCTTTGTCCTATGTCTTTATTGTCGTTTCTACAATCTCTACTGAATTATGTTATAGAGAAATGAGCTAGCATGAGATGTATTATGCAACTTGACCATAATAGGAAGCAGACAGTGTTATGAAGTTTGCTGCGAATTACACAATTATGGAAGGAATATAGCAGAATAAGATATTAAATTACTGAATCGTGTTGAGATTACTGATATCTGGTTTTAAAAACCTAGCATGGAACCTTGAAATATAGAAAAGTTATAATACAAAGTACATAGTAGCAAAATTAGAATACAACTAAACAAAGCAGACAATGATCAATCCAACAAACTTTTGGACACAGGAACTTTCAATCCAAATGTAATCTCAGCAAAAGCATAATAACAGGGGAAGAAAATAGCAAACCTATAGCATAAAACATTTATATACCGGTATTGTTGAAAATGACGGAAAAACAGGCCTTTACAATACTTATCCTGCGTTTCACGTCATGTGAGTCAAACAACTTAATCTGTACTAATACATTGAACACACAACACAAGTAATCCAGATACATAGTACCCTTTATTGTTGATCGTTTATTAGTTAGACATGTAAATTTATCAGCAAAAAAGGTATCAAACTGAAATTGCAAACACACATAGTCCATGCAAGATGCAATGCAGTTTGGAGTAGAAATTGCAAATTTTGCGGGGACAAAACTGCAAATGAAACTAAGAAACACAAAAGCAAAGCAATACTTGAAATTCATGGATACCTACAACTCTGGTATAAAATTCATGAGAAAAAGCCTGAAATACCGATTATGACCCCAAGGGTAACTGATTCCTAGAAAAGAACAATCAAAATGTAAACCAGGATGTTGGTTAGAATGTTTTTGTTAGTATTGGTTCATTTCACACCTTAAATTTAGAACATTTTGAGACAAACCTTATTTGGAGAGGTTTTCTTATCTTGCTGCTCTTGTTTGACCTTCATCTGTTCAATGACCTTGAGTTCATCTTGAGACAGTGTGATTGTCTTATCAGTCGTCACCTTATCTTCGCCCTCATCACTACTGCTGTTCAGATCTTGGCCACAAACCTTGCTCGTGTCCAGTAAGTCTCGCCCAAAGAACGCCTCCTACAAGCAACATATATAGCAAGAAAAATTAGGCTACTGTTGACTACTGAGCTAACACTTATCTGATAAAAATATAGGGTATTTGCCTGGGATTGTTTAGGAAATTGACAGGAAAGCAGGCTTACCTCTAAATAAGTCCATAGAGACACATAAACATAAGTGAAGTAGACATTTTTGTGGTCACTGACCATTTTTTCTTACTTCTGTGGCGTTTATGTGTCTCGATGGACTTATTTAAAGGTAAGCCTACTTTCCTGTCAATTTCTTAACACTTAGTGTGTAAAACATTTCCTTTTGTTGAACAAATTGTAAGCTTACAAATAGTACGAAACTGCTGTAACATGAGTAGTGTCCCAAGAGAATACTTTCAATTGTTAACAATTAAGCGTTTATAGAGGTTAGGAAATTTAATTGATCTTTTATTGCAAATATCATTTTTTATTACAAAATGTAGTTACTTTAGTAATTATAAATAGCCGGTAATTTGTACATCGACAATTTAACTCATTCACTGTAGTTGCAAAACTGCTGAAGAGCAGCATGGCAACTAGTCTACTGAGAGTAGGAAAGGATTTCCGGTTTTGGCTGGGAGACTAGCATCAATAATGTCCGTTAATAAATATAACTCTACACTACGTCTAGGTATAGCATTTACACACTTTCAGATTAAAATAAAATCAATTTTGATAACAAAATAGCCTATTATGCAAGCATCCAAACAGATACCATTAAATTCAATTGTAAACACAAACCTGAAGGTAAGAGGGATAGTTTTCCGCCAGCTTGCTCTTAGGTTTTCTCCGCTGAGGTTTCCTTCGTGGCTTATCTTCGTGAGACATCATGACGGATTCAGTCATTGTTTCGCCGTCACAAACTTCTTCACGGTCTTTCACTCGAGTTTGTCGTAATCTTGCATTAAACCCTCCGATTCCTAAAAAAAAAACACTTATCTTGATTGGAATTTGTCAAAGAAATAAGAAAAATTCATAGGACGGCAAGCGTGTGGTAAATTTAAAACTTAAAAGGTTCACATACAAAAAAAGATGGTGTTGAGCTTGATGTACTGACTTGGTGTCCTATAACTCAAGCTTTTAGAATAGTATTGGTATTGGTATTATACCGACCACACCTAATAAAAACCTAAACTAACCTAACCTAAGGGTGGACAATGTTTTGGGTTATGTTATTATTTGGTTATTGGTTATTGATTTGGTTATTATTTAAACTAATTAAAATCTTATTTGCAAGTCGATTTATCGGTGTGGTCGGTGTAATACCCAAGTATCCAATTATGTTTATCTGTTTGCTCACCCAGCCTCTGCAGATTGCGGACCCTCTTGCGTCGCAGAACCATGGCTCCTGACTCGGTGGTATAGATAGTGAACCCCTCCGGTGGCTCAGGGGGTCGCCCATCAGCCCGAGGGAACACTGGCATCCCTTCCCGGTACACCTTCTCTGGAGCTGCTTCCTCATCTCCGTCTCCATCGTCATCTAATACCAATGAAGATCAGTAAATCGCCTGTTAGCTGTTCCTCTTGCACGATGGTATCAAAAACAGTTTACTAGGTCTAGATACAAAGGCCGTTTGTACGTATAGCTTCTTAGTTTGCGTTTATGTCGCAACAAGACCCTTCGCTGCTTACTGGCATTTGTACACAGAACAGAGTCATTTGCAGCTCTGTAGCTCACATGTACGCTTTGTTGTTTGTTTAGACAATTTTTTAAATTATTGAATCTCCCGGCCCTTACTTAAAAAACGACCCTTGTATTTTTTTTTTAGTAGTTACCAATGTAATGAATAGAGGAATGTGAGCATGAGATTTTGTATCGAGCCAAGCCTGAGCCAAACTTTCTTATATAATGAATTTTTCGTAATACCTTATAGTAAGTTAAGCCATCTCAAACTTGCTTTTCAAAATGCAATTTAATGTTATGATGTTAAATATAATTGTATTAGTACAGTAGACTCCCTCTTATCCGGACACCTTTAAACCGGACTACACTCGGCGGAAATGACATCTCTTTAACCGGACAATTTTTATCAGCACATTGGTTTAACCGGACTAGATCGGCAGGAAGTGGGCGGTACTGAAACGACTGTTCTTGTGGGAAAGATTTGAGACCAGTGTTCACATGTCTAAATACAATGCTCTCCTAAATTTAAGTCGAATATCACAGTAAACAGTCCGTTTTAACGAGTTTTTGGGGATGTCGGTTTAACCGGAAAACCCGTTATCCTGGCCACAGTCCCGAGGAGTCCTGATAAGAGGGAGTCCACTGTACATAAAAGGATTACAAATATAGAAACTAAGTAAAGGATACATGTCATCAGCCAATCGATGTCATTTTGATCAAAAGGTAGAATGTTTAATGAAAATTAGTAGTCATAGACTAAGAATACAAATACATTTTGAAATAATAAATATAACATTCCAAAAATAAATAACTTTTAAAATAAAGATTGAAATGCATTACCATAAATGTTATTATTTGAAAGATAAGTTATAAAATATTTTAATTTTAAGGAAAATTAAAAAAAGGAGTACTGTATAACAGATTATATATCAAAATGTTTATTTTTGGGAGGAATGGTTTTCTTTCAATTAAGAATTTAAATAACAGTATTCCTTTATTACTATCATGAGGGAATAAATTTACCAGTTGTGTCATATTATCTTGTAAAATTGTTGCTTCTAAGTAACCATGTTTTGCTCTTAAAATTCTTCCATCCATCTTCATCATAAGCAATGTAATGCATAATGATAGATGTAATATGTAATGATGTAATGCAAATGTATCAAAATAATGGTTTAAAAACTATTCTGAGAAGAAAACGGCAAACATATTGGTAACCGCGTATTGTACGGATTTTATACTGAGAACCGAGGTACAAAACAACGTACCGTACCAATCTTAAAGTTTCTGTACCCCTAGTCACAACTTTTAACAAATTAATAGTAGGCCTAATCCAATGTGTTTACCAGCGTAGTTTGTGCCTCCAGCAATGACAGACTCTATAGTGGCAAGAATGTCCGCAGAACTGCCTTGTCTGCGGCTGTTAGGTCTGCGGCGACGTGGCTGAGACTGCTGCTCCATAGTCAAGGCTCTGATCTGATACATTCCGCTCTCTGACAGCCGAACACCATCCACCATGTAGAAATCACCCTCACTGCTCTTGGTGAACTCTATACATAAAATCCCAGTTACAATATAACGATATGAGAATTAGTGATGGTCGTAACTGGAAATTTCTAATCTCAAAGCCGAAACCGAAACTTAAAATAAATTGAATCCCGAATCTCAAAACCTGAACACGAAACAATTTTACTTAGCTGGTTATAAAGGTCAACGTTACAAAAAAAATACAGGTAATAATAAATTGTTGAAGTATGCAATCAAAACTGATAGAGATCGACTCCTGACCCTGACATAATAACAAAAATATATGACTGATAATCTTAAACCCAATACAACATAATTTTTTATAAACAACCAACATTAAAATAAATTAAACTCCTAACACCAACATAAACATGAATATTACAAGATTTAGAACATTAAGTGGTCAATATTTCTTTGTGTTCAGTAACTATTGATATGAAACTGAATTGTACGTTCCAGTTGTATTTACAATGCCTTTTGAAGTTTAGAAAACAATTTACTTGTTTCATTACTATTAGTGGAAATCAGTTTGCTCTAAACAGCTGCTTGCTCTATGCAGCTTGAGAGAAAACAGTGTGCATAATAATGGCGCCAAAAATTTCAGCAGTTAAAAAAATTCCAAAATTTTCAATTTCAAACCTTTTGAATCTTGAAACTTGGTGATAAAATCTCTAAAGAATAACTTTTCTAAAGTTTTTATGGATTTGAGATTTGGTTTTGACACATCACTAGTGAGAATATTAAACCGTATAAACCCTAAAAATGAGGTGAAGGGGGGTTAAATATTTTGTCACTAATAAATTGAATGACACCAACAAAAAATGTATTTATGCTCTTGAACATATCAGTTTATATCACATGCGAGATCTTTCACCTTAGCTGTCTGCTGGTTATTTTATGTTGGCCTCTCTTACCAAGCTCTTCTAGAGGCAAGTGAACTCTTTGAGCAGTGTATCCACACGGCCAAAACAAAAATCCTACTTTTTAGGTTGAGAAAATCCATGAATTTCATAAAAAATTATGATCCATCTAAAGTGATCTTTTTGACTATTATGTTAAAATAGCTCTTTAATCCTTGCTACTATACTGCAATCATTCAATTAAATGAGACAGGTTTTATCTAAAAATTAGTAAAAAAAAAGAAAATTAGAGGTCAAACAAAAAATTCGGTTTTGTTCCGCATCTCGTTCTTATCCCGCGAATGGACTAAATATTCCGTTTTCAGTATAAAAATTGTAGTATGGAAACACTGTCTAAAAGAGTGGCACACCAGACCTGACAGAGATGGGATTTGAACCCTTGATCTACGGTGCTCTCTCATAGCTTTGATCAAATATAACGTTCCACACTAGCAGCACTGGTCGATCAAATCATAAGCCAGAGCGTATTCATTCTAAGCTGGACTCCCATGTTTCAAAATATGATTGCTTTTAGCCATATTTCTTTGTTATACTTGCATAGAAAGTCATAAGAATAAATTAAGATAAGTTACTCTAGACTCCTGGTCAAAAGGTTACACTATTCTGAACTAATAAATAGTAACTGTCACCTGGACTGTCAGATCGTGTAGGGGTGTTGGAAGGCCTATTGAGAGGTCCTGCTAGAAGATGAGGCAACTTGACATCCTTGGGTCGACAGATCATACAACGATAACCATCCTCAGCACACATGTCAGCTTCTTCTTCTGTCTGAATGTTGTCACACATACAGTGGAACCACCTGCACATACAAACATACAAGTCATATAAACTAGAACAGCATGCACCCAGGCAGAAATATTCCTCCTGATAAAAATGATTCTAATCCTAAATCAAATGTTTAATTTTCAACTACATAAAATTTGTTAACTTTTAATTTGTAGTAAGAATATAAGCATGAGGGCAGATTCACTATTCTAAGCCATACAACGAGGGATGGACGTGTACTCCAGTATCTAGTAATCACTTAACTTTAAAAAAATGCTTGAGAAAACGTGGAGCCATGTAGCAATGCCGATTAACTAAAAGGGAAATTGAAAGCACAATATTGGTTATTTAATGTGGTCAGGCTAAAATTAAAGGAGGGTGAGAAATAAAAGTAAAGGAATCAAGTAATCAGTCTGGCAGGAGAGAGAAGCCGGGAACCAGCATAGGCAGCAGGCTGGGTCAAGTAGGATGCCACATTGCTTTAGTCAACCACACTATTTCAAGCATTCTTCAGCCTGAGTTGAACAATTTTTATTGTACTATTAGTTTTGTTCTAGTAAATTTTAGATAATCTAACTATTCTATACAGTGTGGAGGCCACAATTTTATAAATTGTGATTTATTTTATTACTGTAATATTAAAGGGTTTCAAATTTATCTGTGGGGTTCAATCAACCTTTCCCAGGTTTACCTGTGACAGCCAAGAGAAATTGTAACAAAAAAAGTCAAAACAATTAAGTTTTGCACTCGAATATGTGCGACTTACCTGTCACATTGAATGCACTTAATGATCAGTTCTGACTCTACGTAGGGTTGACTGCAGGAGGGACACTGAGTACGAGACCCGCATGGACCACACTCCGTGTAGTTTTTGAGCCAAGACGAGCTAACTCCGGGCTCACTCGAGCCACATGTCAGGCACTGAGCACACCTGATGCAAAAACAAACTCTAATATACAATCCAAGGTACTTGTATGTTAAAGCAGGGTTTAAGCTGTAGAAATTATTACATATTGCTAAAAAAGTGCTTTTTTAACTTGATCTGTTGAGAATGTGTTATAAATTTTAAATATGTATATATAGAAGCTTTGTATAAGTTTGTTTGTTGGTTTTGTTTTAATGGACATCATATTTGTCTCCTGCAATTGGAGCAAAATGTTGATCATATCCCACAGCCGTGAGGGCATCATTATAGTGTCTCGCGATCTCTGATCATTCCTCAAAAAAATTCTGATCATTCCTCGCGGCCTTGTAGACATCATTATCATCTCTGTGGTCTTGTAGACATTATAATCGTCTCCCGCAATCACGGCAAAATTCTAATCATTCCTCACAGTCTTGTAGGCACTCGTCTCCCACGATCCGAGGCAAAATTTATATAATTTACCGCGGTTGTGTGGACATCATCCGTCTCTTATGGTTACAGCAAAATCCTGATTATAATCCTGAATGTAATGGAAAAATTATCACCTTCTTTCGTGATTGCGAAAAAATTACATCATCGTCTCCCGCGGTCACTTATTATTGCTGACATGCGCGATCACGGTAAATTGAAAATTCCCGGTAGAGATTCAAAACCAATTAACTCATAATTCCCAGTTTTCCAGATCGGTGTACTGGATTAATCAGTACTTTTGAATAAAAAAATTATTGGATAAACTTTTTGAGTAGTAAAGGTAATGATAAAACTTTCCAGCAAGTGGAAAAAGATAAATTTCTATCGAACATAGTAAAACAACTTAATATGCTCAGGAAAAAAATACTGTACTTAATTGTGCCAAGTGTAACTCATTAAAGTTTTTCAGTGACGTACCATTTACACTTCCAAGTCCCTCTAGGCACGTAGGTGAGGGGAGGATTCATGCAGTAGATGTGGTAAGATATGTCACAGTCGTCACAAAGCAGCAGTCTAGCTTCATCATTACGTTGGCCGCACCCTTCACACACAGTACAGTCCAGGCACCTCCACCCTCGCTGTAGTATCACCTTGGTAACCTAAACAGAGAGTAAACAACATAGTCATGTGGTGCTAAAAACAATCCTCTTGAAAACTACCACCACCTCCACCTTGATCTACGGAGAGAAGTAGATATCTTATTTCAAAGTTGTGAACAATTATGGAATAAAACTTTTAATTCAAGCCTAACTGAAAGTTTAATTATAATGTAATTTGGGTCACATTAATTATTGATGAATCAAATTAAGAGAGAAAAGAGAATTTTAAAGAAGCACATTCTGTGAGTGGCTCGCTTAATTGTGTTTTATTTTAATGAAAAATTAATTACAGTTTGTTTGTTTAGATATGGGATTACTTCCCTAGTATCCAAAAGTCAATTTTAAAATATTGCTCAACCAAAATAATGTGGATATAATTAGGAAAAGGGTTTTAATAAGTTAATTGGATATGGCAAGTATCTACAAAAAATACAAATTTTATTTTCGGATGCAATCTGTCAATTTGAAAGTCCCTTTTAAATGTTTTCATCCCAGTTAAATATATCGAAGGAAATAAATAAAATGTAAATAATTACAGTAATGTTACTATTTGATTTGGTCTCAACACAGTTCTTTGCAATGAATATAATGGGGAGCGAGCTGGTCTAGTGGCAAATTGCGGGACTTTGGTTCCCAAAGTCTTGGGTTCAAATCTTGTTAATCACCAATAGATTTTATCTAAGTGATAATGTTGCAGCTCTTTAGGTCTTGCCTGAAGTAATGTGTAAAAGGGTTTTGGCCTAGAGGCCTAGCATCCTAGGATGTGAAGGTGGGACGTACAAAAATAGCTAGATGATTACCTACCTTGACATTAGCACAGTAAGGGTGGTAACACTGGCCACACTGAGCGCAAGTGATAAGGCAGCCCTCCTGGTCAGTTCCGAGCGCACCACACATAACACAAGAGTCCTGAGATAACACAAACTTGTCCTTGGCAGAACACAAAACAAGCTTGTTGTCACTCGTGTCGTCGTCTGCTGCCACCTTGTCTTTGGTGTTGTCTGCCTGGGGTTTCTGCAAAACGGGTAAAAACAAAATTTATCACTTTTGTCAACTCAGGTTAAGTCTCTAAGACAACACGTTTTGTTATAACTATAAAATTAATTAAAATAGGGTAATATTGTTTTAAACAATACAATCAAATTAACAAATAAGACAAATCAGAAGAATTTAATTAACTTGTGTAGTTCATAAAACAAAGAAGCACGGAGCAAAAGTGCAGTGACAGTCTTGGTACAATGGTTTCTATACTAAATATATCCCACAATAACGCAATGTATTCCACGTGTAATACACCATCCCTTAAATGCATTAATTATTTTTGGAATCTAAAATGAAAAGATTTAGAATGGAAGAAAAGCCAGGTCTCGAGTATTAGTTATGTAAATATAGTTTTACTGGATTAAAAACTCAAGTGAATAAATTTTACTATAGTTCGGCCGCTTAGAAAACGACCTGCGCGCTAATGCTAAACCAATGCTGGAGGAGGTCGCTTTCTAAGCGGCTGAACTATAGTGCACTTCCCAAAACCAAAATATATAAATGTATTTATTTCTCATTTGAAATGTCAACTTCCTACCGTCACTTGGCTACTTCCTCTAAAACAGGTAGGGAATGGTTTTTGTCCTGTCCCAAGCTTTCAGAAATCCTAAAGATCCATAAACACCAATTCGCGTGGAACCTCGTATCGAGTTGCATTTAGGAAATTAAAATTAAAATGCAGGTAAAATTTATAAGTAATGCCAATTCAGGTTTAATTTAGGTTCGATGGAATATCTTACCTGAAGTCCTAATCCTGGGACACCAAAAATGCCTCTCATTTTAGACTTGGGCATCCGTTTGCGACCAAACTCATTGAACCTCTGCTGTTTCTTCTGGTAGTTCATCATCAGTGCGGAGGTTATGCCACTCATCTTGCCTAACTTGCCTGGTCTTCCTGGCCCAGGATATCCAAGACCTAACTTTTTCTTTGCTATTTTACTGGCACAAAAAGGCTTGCCCTTTCCCATTCCATAGCCCTCCTGAAAAATACATTAAGATTCAGGAAAGTTGAACAACCTGTAGCTACAATTCATAGATTTTAAACAAACATTCTAAGGAGAATACCATAACTTTGGACAGCAAAAAAAAAAGAAGAAAATAGGTGGTCATTTACTTTAGCATTTTCCTATTTAAGTGCTAGGAAAATACAGAAAATGTGTTTTGCAAATTATTTAAACACAATAAACCCATACCTTCTCGTAGTCAAAATCAAATTCATCCAATACGAGTGACTCTTGTGAAGCGCTCATGTTAGAATCCATGCAAAAGTCATCAAGGCCTGAAAAAAATCCATTTGATCAAACACAATAGTTATAATATTTTATACTGACATATTTTCACAAAAGTGAAAACGTTTCTGTGCCAATTTGTGGCACTGATTTAGAACTCATACATCTGATCGGGTCTAGAAGATTGTCAAATAACTAGAAATATTGGTTCACTGGAAACAACACTATAAACTACTAAAACACGGTGAAAGAAATTTATTCCACTAGGCCGTTGACTCAGAACAGTCAAATTGTAATGCTTTGTTGGTCTCGTTAGTTAAATGGTTAAAATTAATCAGTTTAAGTATTGAATTACAGAAAACAATGTTTTATATGTAAGAAAAACATTTATTAATTAACTCTTACTTCTCTGTGTTTTAAGTATCAATTGTAACACCATTACCTAATTTTAGGTCATTTTAACATTCATTACCAACCTAAAATTATCTTACTATCAATATTAAATGTTTTTCAATAGTTACTTACTGTCTTTCCGTTTCTTTGGTTCATTTTTACAGTTAAGGCATATGTATTCGTATTCAGGAGCAGATTCTTTGCGTTGCTGGTATGTAACGAGATCTGCATCAGGGTCGCATGTTCCGTGGACAAACCTGAAAAAAATTAATTTTTACAAAAATGATACATCAGTATTTTGTAGATTAGTTCTGTAACATAGTACTGCCATTCTGAATATCCCATCCACTCCATAGCCCCTTGTCCATAGCTATTTACCTAAGGACAGTTGCAATGTGTAATAGAATATTTTCAGAATCCATTACTGCAGAGCGGACCTTCTGCAGAAACAGTGCACTCAATTGAACTATGCAGGTGTAATAATTGGAAGTTCAAACAAGGATGACAGATGATCTTGTGAGAGTAGAGCAGTCTTAAACCACTGAGCACAATCCCCAATCGATAACTGTTGCTTTACATTTCAGCTTTCTATTGTTTACTTTCCGGGCAGAACATTAGCTTTGGCAGCTTTGGGAGTTTAGTTTGAGTAACTGAAGTACTGAAAAGTAAATTTTAACAACCTTTGAGAGGCTGGATGAATTCTTAAAACACTTGAAGGTTACTTCTAGGTTATAAAAAGGTTAAATAACACATAAAAATAAATAAAATTTCTGTTATGTTTACATACAATAAAGAGTATATTTCTGGAAAAAGAATGACGACTTCCGTAATGAGAGGTTAATATGTAAGTTAATTTAATAGGTAGGTTTTTAAATTTGAAGTGAGTTGTGCAAAAAACTAAATTAATTACATTTTTTGTCATCAGCATGTGTTTTTAAAATTGTATCTATAATACAGCGAGGTAATACCTGGGTGGCCAAAACAGCATACAAAACATTTTTTATCCTTAAGTTAGACCGGACGCCAGATTAATTGAGATTTTTAAAGTCCAATCAAATTAAAATTTTTATATCCTTCCTTAAGTCTCAATAGACATTTTTGGTCCAGCAACAGTCAAACAAATAGGTATTATTATTCTTAAAGCAATTTTTTGCAAAGGATCTATGAAAGAAAGTTATGGGCCATTCCTAGGCCTACTTGATTTCATGCTAACCAATACATAATCTAGAATCTAAAATAAAACAGCTTGAACTAGGCTTGTTCCAAATTTGACGTAAAAACTACTAAAATGCATTTTTTATTGAAATGAAATGAAATGAAATGAAATGTGTTTATTGTCTTGTGAATTTATACAAATTATTGACAATGTCCGAAAAACTGCTAAAACTAGCATAGTCAATATACTAACTAAACTATAAACTAGCATGAATACAATATACAATATTTACAAGAGTACTACACACAAGGAGACATGTTACAATACATACTTTAATATTACAACCAAATAATCTTATTGTTCAGAAAAATGCAAGGCATTTAGAATATAATGAAAGTTATTAAACCCCATAACCAACTATTCAATAATTCACTTGGTAGGAATACTTGACAAAACCCTATAAAGGCAATAGAAGGTAAAGTAATGAATGCTGTGAAAAAAACAGCAACCTAGTAGTGTAAACACACAGAAAACTTCACGATATTTTATTATTAAATATTAGGTAAAGTTATTAGAGTTAGTTAAACAAGTTTTAACTACGACCGTCATAACGTAGCCGTTTCAGTTCAGTTCTTAAAATTGCAAAGTTTCACATAGCAGCATTGTTTACTTTCATAACAGCATGGGTAACGGACCAATGAGGTTCAAGGATTGAAAAAATAAGTAAAATTGTAATGATTATAACCTCAACTAATCAGCTGTTCAGGCCAATTTAATTGTTGAGTGGTGCAATAGTGTTTGGTACATGTTTTGTTGCATCACTTTCAGTGGCAATGAGAGGTTATAAACTAAAACACAACCTCTCTTAAAAGTTATGAGTTGTAATTTTTAGTAATAGAAACACTGTCGTAGGTAAAGTAGTGTACGCAACTCATATAAATAGTATTAACAACAATGTAAAAGTTTTAAGGCACTCGCCAAGGCTCGTACCTTATAAATTTCTACTTGTGACGTTGAAACTATCTTTACGCAATTGTTGCGTAAATTACTATTATAGTTTGGAATGTCAAATGACGACTTGATGAAATTTTACACCAGACGCAGTTCACATAAATCATAAATCAAAATCTAGTTATATTTATTTGTCCAATAAGAAGTGAGCTACAACAAATTTTGATTCTTTGTCCGCTTCTGTTAACACAAACCATAATGGCCGTAATGACTGGCTACTTTAGATGGTTAATGATGTAGGCCTGATATAAAACATTTTCAAATCTCGGTATATTCCGACATAAGAGAGATTTTGACATTTTATGATTTTCCTCACACAAAAAATGAATATCTATCAAGAGTAATGCAAATAGTATATTGTTTTAATAGTCCAGAAATAGGTGTTACCTGATGAGTATAGTAAAAACAATTTGGATGAGTGCAAACGATAATTTTCGTCAGACTACTTTATAAGTTTATAACAAACAAAAAAAAACACACACTGTCAACATATGTTTCATGTTGCCAGTTCTTAAAATCACAGGTTCTTTAAGATTTTGTATACTCTTGGTTTTTAACTAGGACATATATAAAACAATATGTATTGGAGACTAAGAAGGGTGGTTATAAAATGAAAATGAAGCAGTTTCAAAAGATTTTCAACCCAACAAATAATGTGCAAGTGTACTGTATATACTTTTAATTAATTGTGAGTGAGCCTAAGCATATGTAGCCTTACACATAGCCTAAACTATAGCTTACACATAGACCTAGGTGTAGGCTATATTGATTGTAAATTGCTAAGTCCTAGTGTTTGACTGCTCATGTGACAATTTTACACCCCTTAAAATTTGATACATACCAAGCCTTCAAAACTCAAACATTTAGTAAAACACAAAATTTCTTAAAAGAAACCATTGTTATTCCTTGCAGTGGTTTAAACCCCTATTTCAGAATTTAAAATACATTTTAAACTATTAATTCACTGCACAACAACAATCTTAGCCTTTGATAATAGAATAATGTATAAAAATCCATTAACACAATCACACAAATATTCAGAGCATTAGGACAAAATCTGTATGTTCTAAGAGAGTTAATACATCACTGAAAGAAACAAAGAAAGAGTCAATGGTTAGAGGACACGTCACATGTTATTTTGGTATTTTGCTTGTTATGCTTGAATCAGCAGTATGCAGCAGCCATGCCCAACCTACCTCACCAAACAGCTGACTAGCAAAATATTCAGTTCCAGGAAAATTTACTTGTAAAGAATTCCTTTAACTCTTAAAGACACACTAAACGGATCATTTAATTGTAAAAGGCACAATAAAAGGTGTTTGTTTACTGATATGCAGTTCACTTGGTGAACCAACGATCAAAAATATTTTATTAAATTTTCGGAGCGTAATGTACCGAGCGTTGTTACTATTAATTTGATATAAGATTTGTTGTGATATTTTTTGTTTTCTTGTTTGATATAGATGATTAAACTGTGACGTGAACTCTTAGGAGAGGGAGATAAAATGATATCCACAAAACGGGCTGGGCCATATGCACATATTTTTTTCTCCAGAGTGTTTAGAAGGAGCCTGATGTATCATAGGTATACCCCCACCAGTTAACCGATAGCCGTACTCAGATAGTTAGCTATTCCAGTCTGGGCAATCAAAATATCAACAATGTTTGTCTCTGGCGTCACCTAATAAAGTACATTTGTGCAGTTTCAAATGTGAGTTTTATTATTTATAGTCTACCTTCAAGAACACGTCAGTGGCGACGAGGAAATGTGTTTTAAAACAGTTTAATTAAGTGATTGTGTCATAATAACTGCAAGTTGTTATAAAAGTGAAAGCTGCCGGTCTCCGGTCGGTGAGTCAATGTCGTCCATTTTGTCAACGTCTGTCTGTGTGTTTTATAATTTAGTCAATAATTAATTCAAAATGTCTAAAGCACCAGTTTTTGTCCCGGAAGAGGAAGATTGTTCGTTGTATATCGAAAGACTAGAACTGTATTTCAAAATAGAAAAGATTGATGATGACCTTAAAAAAAGTCATCTGTGTGTGTTAATTTGCAGCCCAGTATTTATGCAGAACTCAAGTCTTTATTAAGTCCTATCGAGTTCAAGAAAGCAACATATAGTCAGTGTACTGAAGCATTAGCAAAAAAATACACTAAAGTCAAAAAAGTTATTTCTGAGAGGTATACTTTTAATTTGCGGAAACAACGAGTTGGAGAGTCCATTACAGGCTATATTACTGTGATTAAAACCTTGGCCAGTACATGTAATTTCGGATCATTTTTTGACAACGTATTAAGAGATCGTCTTGTGTCGGGGTTATTAAATACTAATATGGTCAGTCGTCTTCTGTCTGAATCAGACGCCATCACTTTTGAGGAAACATGCAAAATTATTTTCGACATTGAAGTGGTAGAGAGGTCAACGAACATTATGTCTGAAAATGACGTCACGGCTCACGTCAGTCACGTGACTACGCAGGGAGCGTGGCAGTCTACGTCAACTCCTACGTCACAGTCCTGGAGATCCAAACAGCGATCGCGTACCCCACCTCCCCCCGCTACGTACAATAGACAACGGTCAACATCAGCTGGTTATCCATGTCATCTACGTTCCGAAAGACAATCGCCGTCCCGATACAGGTGACCGTCCCCGCACCGCCGCTCGGACCATAAACTATCCAACAACAACCGGAAAACATGTCGTTATTGTTTTAAGAGACACAGTCCATCAAAATGTCCTGCAAAAGACTGGATCTGTCACAACTGTGGTAAACAAGGACACGTTGCAGGTTTTTGTCATAGCGCTAATTTTGTTAACATGCCTAATACATTAATTAATGAGTCCGGTCCTTTGTCTGTATGTATACAAGTAAACGGTACACCTACTAATTGGCTAGTAGATACTGGTAGTGCAGTTAGTATTTTAAGAGCAGATCTGGCTAGGAGCTTAAAGCTAACTAAATTGTCACCTTTTCTAGGGCAAATCAGAAGTGTCAATGGTCAAGAATTAAATATTTTGGGCACTTGTGAAGTTGAGGTTAAACCCCAAAACCAATTGAAGCAACATTTTTTAAATGTTATTGTAGCTGA